GACAGAAAGCACCGTAACTCTAGCTGGTGAATGTGCTATTCAGCTCAGAGTAGTTTCTTTCTATTGTATTCTTGCTATTGAATATTTTTTCGGCAAATCAACAGCAAGTACACAATGTCCTACATCTGGGTTTGTTCATGTTTCTACTAGCAGCATGTACAAGCTCCATCTTTACGTGTATTTGCAATACATCTATCAAACATTTAACCTACATTAGCACCAATCCATCGCTATTTTTAAGCTACATTTCTATATTATAAAAGGAAAATGTTATCTCTTAAACAAAAGACAACCTGACCTTTCCTTGCGAAACAGTTTGAGGGAGAGCAATCTCAACTTTAGAAACAGTCCTTGTAGTGAATGGAGTAATCAGTGAGTAATGTATGCATTCAAATGTATGAGTAATGGCTTTATTCGTATAGCTACAGAATTTATACACAGTATAAATCCCTTCTGAAGACAACAGTGTGCTCAAAAATACGGGGAATACCTTTATGAAAGATTACAATGCTTGATCACTTACAAACAGAACTGTGATTATTTGTTTTCATGGGTCATTTCGGAAACAAAGTGCTGCATAACCAAGATCAATGCACATAATCAGCATTACACAACAAAATACAGAGCACGGCAGAGTAATGACAAATACTGTGAGGGTAAAGGAATGCTCATTATGAGTTACGGGTAAGGTGAGGAAGGTTAAAACAAGCCAGCCAAGTGGAATAATGTTAGAAAATGACATGACATTAGCAAGTTAATGTGTAAAATGAGTCTTTAGAAATTTGAGCATATTTGATAATGTTGTCGAAAGGTTAAACTGAGCATTTGTTCTTCTTCAGTATTCAGTCTTAAGTGCAGGTTTTCTTCACTGGATTTATGAGGGCCAAACCTGAGATGGACATATCCTACTTACTGATTTTATTTGTATTTGTCAGATGACAATAATGTTACCTGGACATCTAACAATGCAAGACTCTGTCTGCAACCCACAATTCGATTAAGGGTTAGAACAATCTACAAAATCTTTTCATGAAATTCACTTTAAAAACTTGACAAAAGAAAAACCTGAAGTTCAGACAGAAACCAATGAGCCCCTTCAGCTTGTGGGAATAAGTTGCCATGCTAACCAACCTGGGAGCACTGGTCCCCGGGTTTCTCCAGCTCCTGGTCCTGCTTTCCAACCAGCAACCTTTCAATCAGGTCATCGTATCTCTGAGTGGCCATCTCCACTCAAACCGGTACTTGTACACCAGCCGCTGCCGCCGTAGTCATTACTGTGTCCCGTCGCGCTGTGAGATGCTGAGCTGCTGACAGATACTCGACCTGGCAACGATTGCTGCGATGTACTTATAATTTTGTGTTTGTCGACTGTCAGAAACCTGCAGGATGTCTCTCCCACGTCTGAACCAGACAGCGGGACATAATTATGGTGTGTTCCTCCGTACATCACCCAGCTCTCCAAGAGAAGCGAGCTTGGTCAGGCTCACTGACTTCCATCTCTCATACATCTACCTCCTCAACTCACACTCTAAAAGAAAAGTGCATGTGTGTGTGTGTGTGTGTGTGTGTGTGTGTGTGTGTGTGTGTGTGTGTGTGTGTGTTTCATATAATACTTTTGTTTACAACACTGAAAAAATAAAGTGTATTTTTCTCTCTCACACTGGAAATGTGTGAGTGTGTGGATGTCAAACTAGACAAACCAAGCATTTATTCCCCTTAGCAGGAGTGTGTGTCATATCCAGGTGAGTGTGACAGATCGGGGGCTTCTCTACAGTGGCAGGGGAGCCGAGGCCATCTTGCTGTATTATTCATGAAAGTTGGGGATGTCTTGTTGGCACGCTGTGTTGGCAAACAGCATGTATGGAACAGCAGCAAAAATAATGGGACGCTGTAGCTCAGTGCTGTGTCATCAGCAACACAGTCTTGTAGCAGCACCTGGTGCTCACTGTTTGAATACTAAATGGTTGGGAGAAACACGGCCACTCATTCATTCATAAGGTCTCATCTGAACTCTACGTTCCTTCTCAAAGACAAAACCATAAAGAAGAATATGGACTTGAATATATATAAACATTTCACGCTCACATTCGTACACTGATGGCAGAGGCTGACATGAGAGATGCCACCCGTTAAGAGGCAAACACACAGATAGTCAACCTCCAACAAGTGAGCAATTCTCATTGGATACCTCACATGAGTCTGTGATTGTTTGTCTGTTTGTCAGCAGGAGCACAAAGAAAGTACTGGTCTGATTTTCATTAAACTTAATGAAAGGATGTAGCATGGGCCAAGGATGAACCTCTTACATTTTGGAGCATGAGACGAATCACTGGGCAGATTCAAGAATTATTTTTCATTCATCACATGGCCTTGGTGGAGGTCTGTGCTCTCCGAGTGCCCTTCTGGTTTCCGTTCTAATTCACCCAGTTGTGAGATCTGATGCTTGTACTTATTTCACCACAGTGAGCTGCAACAAGTGACTCACAAATTAGCAAAACTTTCTGCTTATCACTGCTACACTATCCTGTAACACATGTAGAAAACCTGTAGAGGTTCTAGCTGAAGGTTAATGTCTTCAGGGGTTCAAGCTCAGGCTTTTATTCAGCATTTGAATAACAAGCATTTGAATAACAAGAATACTCTTGTTATTCAAATGCAGCACACAGGCCTTTGTCAAATGATCTTGTAATATATTATTCCTGGATGCTGTCTCACACTACTTCAGAAATATTGCTTTTAAACCCTTCTGCACCCCTAAATCAAAACAAGAGCTGTTATTATGAAGGGTAAATAAAGACACAGAGCAACAACTTTTTCACATTTTTGTTAAATGTTGCAAAAGAAGTCGCTGCCACATGCTGCTTCTCCATACGGACCCACATAAAAATAAAAACAGAGAAACAATGGGAGTAGTTGACCAAGGCATATTTGTGTGATTGTAAGCAGATCAAAATATGTTTGGCAAATATTTATCATGTGAGACAATAAGTATAAACTAGCGTTAACCAGTCATAGATTTTGCATTCTGTGTAAGATATCCCTTTAATATCCTTTTATATATTAGGTTATTGTGAGTGATGTTGCAAAGCAATGAGCAGGACTATTTTATACCCTTATTGGATTTTACATCAATGTGAAGTGCCTTTATTTAAAACTGCACTAATCAATGGAAGGTGTCACTCGTGGTGATGAAACTGCAGAGAATTATTACCCGGCGTTTGAATGGCCCTGCAGCGGCCAGCCGATGAAAGACAGATGGAAAAAAGTCCTGGGGGGGTGGGATGGATATAAAGTCAGAGTGGATGCAAGGAGATTCAAAGAGGGTCAAGAGGGCGACAGACAGCTTTAGAATTGAAGAGGTTTGACGAATTATGAAAAGTTTGAGACTTCACTTTGAATGAGAGTACTTGCTGCACAGGGGAGGAGCCAAAAGTTGTAAACATTCAGGGTCTCAAACCAAACATATCTGGGACAGCGGCTATGCTAACGAAGACAAGCGTTATTGACCCATTTGGCCACAAGAGGGAGTATACCTTTAGGTGATGCAGGGCACATACATATGTTTTATCCATCACCACAGCTATAGAGATGTTTTCCTCTGTTTCTTTTTGAAAATATATTTTTCTGAATTTATAAATCCATTGTGCAATGCAATTCGTTAGCATAGCCGCTCATCCACCCAAGTTTAGTCTGCCAACTGATGTTAGCCTATATTAGCTTATAGTAGCCATACTATTACAATTCGGCATTTTTTTACTAAACCAATTACAATTACCAACAGTCATACCTTCAAGGACCTTAATGCCTTGTCACATATTGTCAATAACGAAAAATAAAGGCTAAACTGCCGCGGCACCTCTCCCAAAACAGTGGCACAACTTCCTACAGCAGCTAAGCTCAACTAGCTGCCGCTGCCACATTTTGAGCTTGCCCTTTCTCGAGGACGCCATCGCAAGGATAGTACGCTGCGTTCACAGTGGTGTGTGGAAGTGCGAAACGTCACATATTAAAGTGTGGTAGTTGAACGGCCCAATATGGCATAGTTTATTGTTCTTTTACTGTGAATCGTGCCAAGTAGAGGCTAAAACAGCTTGCTAAACAGAACTTTGTCACTAGCGTAATTTTATTTACTTCCAATCACGTGAATATGGTGTATATAAAGTGTTATAATTCTAATTATAATTCTCGCGGTGCCCACGTTACATGAAGGCAACGTGGTTGAGGGTCCTCAGCCTTCTTTGTTATGCTGTCACTCATGATGACACGCCCCTCTCAGTTGATGCCACGCCCCCCACGTTAGATCAGGGTCAAAAGTCTGAACTGAAAATAACCGATCTGAAAGTGAAAAAAAGATTTGAAACCGAAAAAAATCTGAAAATATAAAATCTGAGACTGGAAAATATAAGAACTCAAATATCAAAATATATATGAAAGAAAAATGAAAAAAAAAAATGTATTCAAAAAAATTCCAGAACTGAATCAAAATGATATTCAACCCAAAAAACCTTTTCGTTCACTTATTTTTATTTTGAATACATTGCTGTATTTTTCAATGTTCAAGACCACAACTTGAACTTTCAGGTTAAATTTTTTTTTTCAAATGATCAGAACTTTTGACCTGGATTTAGCTCCATATTAATACAATTGAGTTAATGCTCTTTTGTTGGCCATATATTTAATTCAGAGTATGATAACCACGTTTACTTGTTGGGATTCTTCATTTGCAGTTAGAGCAGCTCAGATTATTCTGCCATTTATTTGCAAGTGTAGCAGATTAGTCAGATAAACATTTATTCTGTGAACTCTACTCCAGTTTAGTCTGACAAAAATAGGTTTCAAGATTAGGAAAGCTGTTTAGGCGAGATTCCTACCCTTCTTGTGTCTGTAATGCAAGGGTTGATCTCTTGTAATCATGTTTTTTCCCGTTCGTCCTTGAATGCAGCATTAGCTCCGTCAACTTGTTGCGCAACCGGAGAGAAACGCCCCCCTCCTCCCTCTGAGCTCAGCTGAAGCTCTTCCTCTCTGCTCTCTCTCTGTCACTGCTGCACACAACTCACCAAGAGCGTAAACATGGCTGCGAACCGGGTGATCGTTTATGGAGGAAGAGGAGCTCTGGGCGCAACGTGTGTCCAGCATTTCAAATCCAAAGGATGGGTGAGTGGGAGTCAATGCTACAGTGGGAGTCAATGCTACAGTGGGAGTCAATGCTATCGATAAATGCTAACTCAATGCTGAACGACAAGCTGACTGTAGTTTCTTTATTCGTGACGTTTGACAGTGGGTCGCTTGCATCGACATGGCTGCAAACGAGGAGGCGAACGAGAACGTGATCGTGAAGTTGAGTGAGTCTTTCACCGAGCAGGCAGGACAGGTGAGCTGCACATGACAGTATGCATCATGAATTATATCTATTATATCTATAATTAGATTAATCGGTTGTGCTCAACTGTATGCTAATGCTGCGTTCAAGTCACATTTGAAAAGAAGGGAGAAAAGTTCGTGAATCTAACAACTATATATTATTTTTCAACAAGATATTGTTGGTTTAGCTGTCTTTTTACATCTTACATTACTGGATACATTTTATATTTTAATATTTCATAAATTAATAAAAGTTTATATATTTGTAGGCTTGTGACAGTTTATTTTCTATCCTGTTTATCCAGTTAATGCTGGGTACAACCTGGACAATACATATACAAATCTAAAATACAATAGTTAATTTATTGTTAGGCAATATTCTCATTTTATACAGGTTAGTATATTAACATATTTTTGTGTTTTATTTAGCTAGTTTACATGATTTTTGTAAAATGCTGGAGCATACCTCATGCATGTCTTTGTCACATTATGATTGAACATCCTTGCAATTTTCTTTTTTGCAATAACGGTTATAAATAAACTCTCTGTAATCATCACTCATTCATCCCCTGCTGTGAATGTTTTTTTTTTTCCAATTCCCTTCCTGAACGCAGCGCAGAATGTGTGGTAAACATTTCCAGCTGGTGTTTTTATTTCAGAGATAGTCTCCCCGTGGCTTTATGAAAAGGTGTTGGTAGTTATCTCTCATTTTGTGCAGGTGACGACAGATGTGGCCAAGTTATTAGGGGAGCAGAAAGTGGATGCCATCTTGTGCGTGGCAGGAGGATGGGCGGGAGGAAGCTGTAGTTCCAAAGGTGAGATTTCAACCTTTTTGTTTGCTGTCACATTAATCATCAGCTACTTGTTTCCTGCAGCCATTCATGCACAAAATTAAACTCAGCCTAAATAAACTGTACGGTAATTAAGAAGCGGACGTTTAGCTTAGCTTAGCATAAAGACTGGAAACAGTTGGAACAGCTAGCATGGCTCAGCCCAAAGGTAACAAAATCCACCAAGTAGCACCTTTAAAGCTCACTGAATATCACACATCTTGTTTGTTGAATCTGTTGAAGTGTAAAAATTACATTTCTTCTTTGTGCGATTCTGGTCCAAGCCGAGAAATAATCGGATACAAACCCCATTTTGATTTTTCCACGGATTAAGCAAATGATATATAATGTGTTGATTTGTGAGCTTTAGAGGCGCTGATGCAGATTTTGTTGCTGTTGTACAGAGCCAGGCTAGCTGTACCCTCTCTTTGTGCTAAGCTAAGCCAACCAACTGCTGTAGCTTTATATTTATAACAGTCGGATACAAGAGTGGTATCGATCTTCTCATGTGGCTCTCTGTGCCAGAAACTAAATAAGATGATGCATCTTTAAAAGCATGTTTGATAAATGAGAAACCAGCAAATTAAAAATGTTCCCCGTCTCTCTTAGATTTGTACAAAAACACAGATCTGATGTGGAAACAGAGCGTGTGGACCTCCACTATCTCCGGCCACCTCGCTGCTCTGCACCTAAAACCAGGTGGACTGTTGACTTTGGCCGGGGCCAAAGCTGCCCTGTCGGGCACTGGAGGTAAGGAACACACACACACACACACACACACACACTTGTATTTACCGTTCTCATCACGATGACCTGGTTTGGCCGCGTGTCACGTCAGGGTTGCAGGCAGACTTTAATGTATCGGAGACTCGATTGTGCACATAGCTTTGTTGTCCAACCTGTCGATTCAAATAAAGCAGGTAATGGAAAGCACTGCAGGGCTTTGAACGGGGAATTGACATCCTGATCAGAGACGCGGGGGATTCTCATGCAGCTCACAACAGTGAGAGGAAAAGGTGTCAATAAAATGGATCCGAGAATCAAAACCAGAAGGGGAAAAAAAGATACAATAGCCGATGAGCTCTGTGGAAGCAGCAGTTTGCCCGTGTGCAACCCTTTACTCTGTTAGTGTCCTTGAGCATGTAAGTCAAGCCCGACCTGCTCTCTTATTTTACTCTACACAAGACCAGCTGAATGACAAAAATGTGACTGATTAGGGTTCATTAAAGCAGCTGACAAATGACTATTCCTTTTGACATTTCAGACTATTGAGAAAATAACAGGCAGATTAAATGATAGTAAAAATAATCATTAGTTGCAGCCTTATTGAAAAAATAAACTTGTACATCACTAGAAAGCACGAATTATACTTAAGATACCTTAAGCCTGGATCTCTGCGGAGAACGGTCTTATTGGTAATTCTAAGTCATGTTGTGTAGATCTGAGCATCAAACACGCCAATTTGTTGATCCAGCTTCTTGTCGGGAGGCAGTGTTGAAACAGACAAACCCAAATCTGTGACGGTATAAAAGAAAACAGCCACAGAAACCAGACCAGCTCTGGAATTGACAACATGCAACGTGCAAAATTATCTTTAAAATAAATAAATAAACTCCATATGTGTAATTAAAATGATTTGTCTTTCGATGGTGACTACCGTACGTATTGTTTTCGGACATTAAGTCCCAGGGTGGTCCACCGAAAGAGGCGGGACCCTGCCTCTCTATAGTAGACCATTGTTCATGTGACACCAGCCGGCCTCTGTGGCATCCAGAGAGGATTTGGTGTGGTGCCATGTGATGTGCCATGTGATGTGCAGTCTCCCCCTCTATCCAAGCTAACCACTGGTTGGGCGGAGATCCAACTCCACGGCGATACAAAGCCCCGATTCAGCACAAAGCCCACAATCTCATTGGCTGCTGGCTTATGAAGATGACTCAGTTGAGGCTCCACACACATTATCCATGTGGACAGCCTGCGTTAACTGCACTGATGCAGTTTGGGGATCCTGATCTATTGTTTTCTTTTGACTGAGGTTGTATTTACTGGGAGCCTGCAGCCCCTCTGCAGAGGCAATTTCTTTAGGTATTAGGTGTATTTTTAAATACAAGAAAACTGTGAAAGTGATCTCGTATAAAAAAAGAAACATATCTGTGTGGTCTAATTAAACACGAGTCAACATCAAGAGCCACATGTAAGGAAATATAACAAACACCGCTGAGAGGTACTTCCTTTCTTCTGTGTGCTTTGATCAAACAAAGTGAGAAAAACGTTAATGAGCATTGACCAAAATCCAGATAATCTGTGCGGCGGAAACAAGAAAAGCAGATTCGGATAACTAATTGACCTTGAAGGTTGTTGTGAATTAAAGGTTTAAGAATGAATACCCCGTTAAATGTTGTGAATATTATTCACAGATGTTGGGGGATAACCAGCCGAGTATCACGTCCGCAAATAAAAGGGTGAAAAATCAAAATGTTCTGCCCAGTGAACAAAAACATCTTTGCTGCTCTGAATCAATCATTAATTACATTTTGAAATTCCAAAGCCAACTTAAAAGACCAAGAGTGGGTTGTCGGACCTCGTGCAGGGCTTTTTAATAATCCTAACCTTTTGATTTAGGGTTTAAAACAGAGGTCGAGCCCCAGAAGGAGGGGGGTCTTTTCTGTGCTCTCCATGCGACTTTTGTTCATAATCTCCAATCTGATTATCCTCTAAAATATGCAAAAGATAGCTTTCAGTGTTTGGAGGCACAGCAAACAATCGTATGTATTATATTCAAGCAGCTTGTTGCCCGTTGTCTTCCACACAGAAGTCCAGTTTTTATTCTAGCATAACTAGAAGTTGCCTAGAGTTGAGCCTGTGAAACATGAGTGGTGCAGGATTCAGAATAGTCTTTGATATGAAGACACTTGTCTTCTGACTGTAGTGCCAATCTGGGACTCTAAAGTATAATGGCTGAAGTCCTTTGTTTAGGCTCTCACATTCTAGCTTCTTCTGATCCAATTCCCCATTTAATCTTCTTCCTGGAGCTTGTTGCTCCGGCTGTTCCTAAATTCAATCTTATCTGATTCAAGTGTTTACTAAGATCTACTGAATTAAAATGGGTGGAACCACACAAACTGTTTCTGACGTTGAGACGTTGTTGTTACATGTTTACACCTGCTAAGTTCCAGGTGTAACTGTTTCATCGCTGACTGAATCAAATGACACAGCTAAAGTTAGCTAGCTAATGTTTGACGAGGTCAACACAACCGTCGCAACACTATTTAAAACGCTTTACAGAAAAATAACAGGAGTGTTGACTTCACCGTCTTTAGACTGCAGCGTCTCTAACTCGTGCCTCCTTTTTTTGATGTTTCTCTTGGTGAAAATCAAAAGCTTGTAATAAAAGCCATGTCACCACCCCTCGTTCTCATTGGTCATGAGATTGGTTTAGTCGGGTGGGCAGATGCTTTGCATTCTTCAGAAAGCTTGTTAGATTTTGGGGGGTAGAGGCACACTTACTGTTTCCAGATGCTGAAGCTACAAAACATTCCGATAACTTTATCCGGTTTCAAAATCAAACGACAGAGAAGAGAACAAGCGGTTAGAGATGTTTCATATGTAGTGTGTGTAGTAAATTGAATGTGATTAGTTTATTTATCAGAGCACATACATACCTGGCTACAACTTCATTTTTAAAGGTCTCAAGCTGTTCCTACTGGAGATTCTCCCAATTTCCTTCCACTTGACCTCTCCCCACTAAACCAATGCCATCCACTCCCGGGCACAGTGTGTCATGCCGTTGATGTGGTCTATGTTGCCTCTGCAAACTGAATTTTCCCCGAGGACATTAAAATAAATCTTCCATCTGCACCCTCCAGGCATGGTGGGCTACGGCATGGCCAAAGCTGCCGTCCACCAGCTGTGTCAGAGTCTCGCAGCAAAGAACAGTGGGATGCCATCGGGATCCGCTGCTGTGGCCATACTACCGTAAGTACTGCAGGGAAATGTTGTGGACACACTTGATGCACGTTTAAGTGAGGATGTGGGAATCACAGGTGGGAGGCTTTTAATATTAATCGTCCACCAAATGTGTCCCTTTAGTATCAAATAGCTTCAACCTGTGGTCCTGAGAGGTGGCTCTAAAAACATTTGTGTCTGTCTCTTTTGTGGAGGATAGTAGTCTGTTTGGAGTCACAGCAACTTTATTCGATGTCTCAGAAATTAAAACTTAAAGAAATAACCAATACTACGTTCCAAATCGCATCCTATTTCTTTTTACTTTATGTACTACAGCTGCCCTTACATAGTACGTTCTATTGCATGCAGTATGCATTCAATCAGGACATACTTTGCCATGACATGGCACCTTGAACCCTATCCTCTTGCGCAGAGGATTGTTTTCAGAATAGGCAAAAAAAGCATGCTGGTTTGCAGACTGCAAAATACGACCAGATGGTAATTTTGGCATTCAGCATTTATTATTCTATGTATTGGGACATACTAAAAGTCTCTGGCATACTAGATAGTATGGTAGTATTGGCATTAGAACGCACAGCAAGTCTCACTCATTTTGCTTATTGTTGGTAAGATTGTCTTCTCAATGAAGAGAATAACCAACCACAAGTTTTCTTTAAATCTCAAAAAGGATGTTAAGCTTTGATTTCCACCTGCTTCTGAGGAGGATAGAAGAGAAATGTGAGAGAATTTGAGCTGTAAGGACTCGTCCATTCATCGGTCATCTGTCATTGCAGTTAAAGAACGTAGGCTTTGGGCTTACGCTAAAATGATGAATAACTGACCTGAAGAGAACGTTTAAAGCTTCACCAGACAACCTTGGTTTTTTTCTCCTTTAAATTTTATTAATCCTTGTTGCACTACGCATCTTTAAATACACCGACGCTGCAAGAAGCCGGTAAAAGAAGCGAAGACGAAAGCTACTGTGCCGTTAAATGACCTGTGCCTCACAATTCTTTGTCATGTCCGATGGATACAGGAAGTGGGAGGTTGAAGATAAGCTGCAGGAGTAAAAGATGGATAAGGCTGCCAACGTCACCCAGTGGATCTGTGGTTGTGCACATGATCTGTTTTAGATGAATGGCGCACACACAGGCGTTTGCATCATCGCATCTTTATCTAATTTAAAAGATTTTTTTTGTTTTTGCAACGTCATCATGAGAAGCTAGAAATGGATTTTCTCTCTCCGGTTGTAGTTTCTCTCCAGCATGCTGTCACATCTGTTCAGCATTAGCCCCATGACTTGCATTTCTGTTGGAGACAACCACCTACTCCTGCTGCTCCATCATTTACCAGCACTATATAGCATTTGTGCATGAGGGATATTCCTGCAAAGAAATGTATATTTGTATACATCTTATAAACCTTGACAATCCCTCCCACCAAAAAAAAAAACACTGCAGTACTCCTGGGTCAGGATGCATTGTTGTTTATAAGCTATTGCACAGAAGTACTGCATGTTAATGTTAGCATTGTTACACAAAAGGTGACAAGAAAAGCGTGCTGTGTTGAATTGCTAAGTGAAATATGAAGTCATGAATATGATAATAAAACACAAACATGATGCAAATCATTTTTCTTTCCGAACCCTGTGCTCTGTTTGTGGTCTGTATGTGTGGAGGTGCTGCAGACTGCAAGCTTTCTCTCTCTCTGTCTCTCTCTCTCGCTGTCTGTCTCTCGCTGTCTGTCTCTCTCTCTCTCTCTCTTTCTGTCTCTCTCTCTCTCTCTCTCTCTCTCTCTCTCTCTCTCTCTCTCTCTGTGTGTCTCTCTCTCTGCCGCTCACTCCCTGATTGTCATCTGGCTTAATTTGACAGGGTTACCTTGGATACGCCGATGAACAGGAAGTTCATGCCTGATGCGGACTTCGGTTCCTGGACACCGCTGGAGTACATCGCAGAGTGAGTGCTGAAGCGGATAATGACTCCTACTGTTATTTGCAGGCTGTAGGGAGCTCTGTAACATCTGTCTCCATCAATATAACTTCAACAAATGTGTATCTGCTCTAGAGTCACATTTGGAAAATGTTCATGCATCCTAAAAACACCACCCAATGCTTTTTATAGACTTTTGCATTTAGGAAAATTCCACCCTGCAATGCACTTATAATATGAATCTACGAGGTTCGGTTTTTATAATGTATTTATTTTTGTTTAATACATACTGAAGCATCGTGTCTGTGCCTATAAACAGCAACAAGAACATTTGATTAATGCTTAAATGTTACTCGGAGTGTGTCGTGTGTGCCGTATTTTTCGTTCTCTGTACACACGATTTGTTCAGTTGGTGTACGACTATCTTCTACATGTGTCTGACACTGAAACGTGTCTGTTCTACATGCTGTCCTGTCGAGGCTGCTAAAACGCTCTTTGATTCTTAGAGACTCTCCGACATCCTGAACATCACATTTAGCTGTTTGATGCTTCAGATCAGAGAAACAATTTCCAGCTATCAACCTACCTTAACGTTACTGGCAATACCTGATGTAATGTTAAGCAAGTTGTGCTCAAGAATGAACTGCATATGAGCACAGAATACGAAGTACAATAGCTATTTATAGCCATTTTTTCCATTTAAATTTATTACAGTTTTATCAAACCTTCATCAAATGAAATCTTCTTTGTGGTGTAAATAGACCCAGGTTCATGTCTGGTCACGTATTCATGTCAAATTTATTATTAAAAAAAAGACAGCGAGAGATTTGAAATATGGCGTTTCACCACAAGATGTTCAAATGGATCTACGCTGGTCTGTCTTATGATTGATGGCACAGTTGTGCGTTTTTCTTGCTTGCTCATCACTGGAGGTCATCCATTTTTCTGTCTGCGAAGTGTATTATTTATGACATGTATTCTCTTACTTATTTAATCCACATATTTTACATCGAATATTTAATCCTCCTACTATATTTGCAACAATTTACTTGACAGTACAGTTGTTTGTCATGTTAGGGATCTACAGTGATTAAGCTCTTACATAAAAAATGGTATCAGTATGTGAAATGGCTGCTATGTGGACTAACATCCTCACACATGAATACAAATGGCCTCATTGGATCCACAAGAGTCTCAGCTTTCTAGTCAAACCTGATTTATGCCATTCTGAGACTGTTTAGGGACCCCAGTATGCAGAAATACTCAAACACAACCTTTTTAGAATGGGTGAAAAAAAACACATTTATACTGCATACACACATGTTTATTTCCTTAAACTGCATGGGGATTAGCATTAAGTGAGCATGTCTGTAAAGGGGAGACTTGTGGGTACCTGTAGAACCCATTTTCAGGCACATATCTTGATGTGACGGGTCAAGAGACCCCTGAGAATATAACCGTTCCAGCGAAAATGTAGCCTAATTTTTGAGTATTATTCAGCTCCTTTACAAACTAGCATGACCACTAGATTCATTCGCGACATGAGCAATGCTATTACTCTTTTTCTTTTGCATTTGTTTATTCATCCATCTTTTCAACAGTTCTAAAACTTTCCAAAACAACAATGTCTGTGGGGGAAGAGGGTTTTGATTAATGATCAATTCAATTATTTAATTAATTCCAGTAATTAGTACAAAGGAAACAGTGATTTGAGAGTACGAGAACTCTCCTAAATGAATACATTGAGACAGAAGTTTGTGTTTACGCTCTGCGTAGGCCAGGAGAGATTAGAGGGGATGTGATCCTGTTTGATAATCCCTGAGGAAACAGATGAGGGTCTGAGGACAGAAATAGAAACAATCTGTGTGGCGGGAAATGAAGGGATGTGGCACCCGTTCTTTCATTGTCCCTATTCCTATCTGCTGTACTCATCTTTCTGGCTTTCACATGACAAACGTCATTCATCAAACCTGTACACAACTGTTATTTCTAGTCCTCCTGCTTACTATGGAAACACAGATTGTCAGATTCGTTATTTAACGTCCAAAAAATATGGAGGATCAAGGCTGACAATGTGTCATTTGTCAGTTACATACTTTTCTCAATATCTTGTTGTTTGAGTTATAAACATGTTTCTTTTTTTCATCTACAAAAAGAAGCCAAAGTTGGTGTTTAATTGATGGTTAAATGTGCAGCAATATGCACAAGAACTTTGCCTAAATTAATTGACAAACGATTAGAAATTAGCAAATTCAAGTAAACAATCTGACCTTTTATATTAATGCAATCCTTAATAAATCTTACAGAAGTGAACCAACATACTGTATATGTTGAAAATAAATAGACACTGTGCATTTTATAGACTTTTTTTAATTTGTTTTTTTTATTTACGTTTTAAGTTTTAAAAAAGCCATTTTAATTGTAACTACTCTTTGGACAAACGGCTTTTTAGGGTGATCCCTTATGAGTATTTCCACAGTGTGGGGCTCAATAAGGTTGTTTTCTATGTGCATTATTGTTTACTTATTATTTTTGTCCTTTAATTTATTTATTTGCTTCACATTACTCGTTTTTGCCATTATTTTTGTTAGTGTTATAGCTTTTATGAGCACATATCATTTTCACATGTAATTTTTGATTGAGTTTTTTAGCGTCAACACGCGTGAGTCAGTTTCAGTACTTCTTTGCGTTCACATTTTGTTTTTAAAGTTGAACACCTGTCCTCATGACACTTCATACCCCGATGAAGACTTGTTAAGTCGAACCGCGTTGGATATCCATGATTTATTTAAGGTTTTTAACTTTTCCAGACTGCTTATTAATACCAAGAACTTCTTTCTTACGTAAGTCATTGTTCTTCCTTTTGTTCTTGACTGCTTGCCCCATCCTTGAAGAGCACCTGACTTCTACTTCAACATTACCAACAGAGTTTCTTGACGTACTCCCCATTGTTTCATATATATATATATATATATATATATATATATATATATATATATATATATACTGTAAAAGTATAGTAGGAGATGACACTACAGTTCTGTATGAGAAGGTGCTGCATTTAAATTGCAAAGATTAAATTTAGAAATTTGTAGTGATGGTCTGAAAATAATACTAGAAATGCAACTAAACAAATTAACATATTGGGTTTTGATTGCTTCCTGAATAATGTTTATTTCATTTGTTTTGCTCCAGAATGTTCTTCAACTGGGCCGCGGGAGTGAACCGGCCGGCTTCAGGAAGCTTAATGCAGCTGCTGACCTCCGGAGGGGAAACCCAGGCTGTGGCCACACAGTAGAGGACAGAGGGGAGGAGTGGAGACGGTGATGGGGGTTGGGAGGGAGAGATAAGGAGATGGAGAAGCCCAGAGATAGACTGGTAGAGAGAGGAGGAGGAGGATATGAGGAAGAGGGTTTAAGGGTGTGGAGGTGAAGAAGAGAGATGGTAACAGAGGAACTGGATAAAATAAGAAGGTGGAGAGGAGACAGTTAGATGGGTTCATTTTGGAGGGGGAGGAGGAGGAGGAGCTTTTATTGCAAATGTAGCCTCAGAGCGCCATCTAGCTGTGACAGTCTAAACTGTGTTTTATATACGGCGATGGTATGGACACTTTTCAAATGTGCACAACAAATTTGAGGTATTCTTTCAAAGATCAGTGAAGTCTAATAAGTTAAATGAGAAACAATTCATATAAAAATGTTCATGTAGCTTCTAATCAGTGACCGCTTTCACACAGTCCTGATCCAAGAGAGAAAATTGAAGAAAATTGCTGAAAATGAATTATCTGTCTTAACTTCCTCCAAAATGCACATCAGCTACTTCATACCTATATTAGCTTCAGTCGTTTCCTTTAAAGTCTTTGAAATCCAACACACAACGTTGTCAGTCCATTGTGACGTGACATCTGTAGACCTTTTGGGTTTTTTTTTTTTTGTATCGTCCCTGAAAGTCCTCTTCCACTGCAGAAACCTCGAAGTCGAAGAAAAAGCCGCTGTCTTCTTCCCTCAAACGGACAATAAGGTTGACGGTGAAGTGGCCTTATTTTATGTTTGTAGCTGTCAAGTCAAAGTGTCCTTGTTTTCCGCGGTGCTCTCTTCCTGTTGTGGGTTTTCTAAGTCGTGTATTGTAACTGTGTGAAATTCACAATAAAATGAGCCAACACCAAGGATCCATTTTGAGGTTCAGAGTTCATTCTTGACTTTGGAAACAGAAGTTGAAAAAATGTCTCCGTGTTTTAATTCTTAGTTCACCGTGGATGCATGCTAGAGAATCAAGGTTTTCTTTCAAGGTAACCGAGGGGGAGTAATTGGTATACAGTTCGTTGATCTATAACATCAAGGTTCATTCTTGACCTTTTGAAATGACAGTTGACAAAAACAAAACCTCCAAGGTTAATTTAGTAGCCGTTCTGTAACTGATGAAGATCATTGAAAGCTCCAAAACTGCTGCTAAATGGACCTTGAGGTGAGATTGTTTTGTCAATCAGAGAGTGGATAAATGTAAAACCATCTCAAAGTGGATAAAGAATAGTTGACAAAGTACTGCATCACTCAACAGTCACATATTTTTTGGGGGGTGGAATTGGAAAGATACAAGTTAGAATCAAATGCTGCTGATATTCTCTATTTTGTAATTGTCAACAAATCCCATGAATGGATCAAAACCAACAGTGTGTTAGTCTCAGTAGCTTTCAATTCATGCGTGTGTACAGTTTTAAAAGAGCTAAATTGATTTCCTAAAACAGCTGGTGTTTGTACAACGAAGGAGCTCTACGGTATGATAAATAAGATATGTCAGGTTTTAGCTTCATATTCACAAAAAGCATCAATTAATTTATGGTAATAAGAAAAACATTGCAAAATCAAAGTATTTTCTTTTGAACGCTGCAGTATATGAACACCCACTAGATGGTGCTCTCTAATAGGCTCTTCTGCCAGTCTGTGTTTTTCAGGGGGAAGTCGCGTTCATCAAACGGATGAGTTAACACTCGCAGCTGAATGTTGCTCTGCCGTGCATCCACTGTTTAAAAATAACTTGCAGAATATCCCTTTAGCGTTCACTCTGAACGGATTGCTGAGCATCCAGGCCTTCCACAGTGACACGTGCAAATCTCTACATCTGGTCCGGCATCAATTTAAAAATTGGATTATGACGAGTAGATTATTTTTGCACTCCCGTTCCGTTGTTGCTCAACCAACACGTAGCCTACATAATCACCTTCAGCGTGGAGCACATGCATAGACTACAGGGCAGCTGCCGGGCCTTTAGTCTTAAACTCCTCCATTTCTCCCGGCCGGCCACAGTTCCGGGGGACTATATGGCTGTTGACAAGCACACTGCAATAAATCACCATGCTGAGGATTAATAGGAAAGAGCAAAGCGCCCCCGCTCACTGTAGCTGATATGTATTTATTCTAGGTGGCGTAGTAATTCATCTCACTGTGTGTGCACGCATGTGTGTGTTTGTGTCTGTGTGTGAGGGCCCGAGGCGAATGCAACACGTCTATGCATATATTACCTCCCATGATGCCAGCACTAGAGTGATTGCCCACGGGGATCGAGTCAATGTTTATCACAGAAAGCGTTTCAGCTGATCAAAGATTACCGCTGAGACGGAGCATGTTGTTCCCGTTTCAGCTGGGGCAGATAAGCTGTCACCCGGTGCCACAGATGCGATTGTTTTGTGCAATGTAAATCTATGAGAAGCAAATGATTTGCATGTCACAGGTGCAGCCGTGTGCTAAAAGGGAATTTGTCCGTGGTGCTCCTCTTTCAAAGGGGCAGCAGCAGCGCGTTTTGTTTTTGATGGTGAGTATTTAAATGAAGGATGACTGATGTGATTTAAAGGTCTGTTGTCTCACTCTGGTAAACAAGGAGCGGAGTCACATAAGGTCAACAGAGCTATATAGTGTAATGGGACAGTGCAGCTGGGTCTTCTATCACAATATACTTCATAATATGGCTAATATTCAAGAAAATATTAAAATAACCAGATGGGAGTCTTTAAGAAGTGGTGATCGTCCCTTGTTCGCATTCTCTTGGTGACCTTTTTTTACATGTCGCCATTCTTTCCCCTCATTTCCTGTAATGTATCTACTAAACACACTCTGATAAAGCCATAAAATACCTAAACATACCTTTTTTTTTTTTTTTTAATCCAGCTTTTCAAAGACCAAAAGTGTTCTAATAGAAAAATATACTTGACCCCATTGAATCTAATATTGCCATAAAGCTCAAGGGTTTGCATTATTATGTCATAATGCATCTAAAGATGTTAAAGGGTCAGCTGCCCGGAAATGATTCGCAATTGTCTTTCATCTATAGTGCACCTGTCACTTCACAACAGAGGTGTGGACTCAAGTCACATGACTTGGACTTCAGTCACAAATTTGATGAGTTGAGACTCGACTTGGACTTTAACATCAATAACTCGTGACTTCACTTGGAGTGGATGCTTGATACCCTCTCCACAAGCCCAAAGATTAAAAAGTATGTTATTCAAATATCAAAAATCTATTAATTTCCTGAATCAACTTACGTTAAGGCTATTGTTATATATCATTACAATGTAGTTAGAATGGCCTTAAATGTGTTGAGCATGTTACGACTTGTTAAAGGCTTGAAACTTAAAGTTTAGAACTTGGGACTTGAGTGCAAAGACTTGAGACTCACGAGTGATTTGCAAAACAATGTCTTGGTCCCACCTCTGCTACAAACATATACAATACATTCAAGTAGTAATTTATAGTGTTTTATAATACATTTGACAATTGTGCTCCTTTTTCTCCCTCCAAAGTGGACAACAATAAATGAACTTAACTGATGAACGAACGTGTTCATCAGCAGCTTCAACTGTTTGTAGATACACACTGAATGTATAACTTGTTCTTCATCTCGGGCAGATGATCATCTCTTACCTGAGCGAAGGTGATCAACTGTTCTCTTGTGCTGAGCTCGTGATTTATGAATCATATTCGACCGTGACACTCTCAGAAACGAACCCATCCATCCGTTTAACCATCGTGGTCAAATAAAGGTCAGATACATAAATGGAAGAATAAAATGCATGATCAGTTGAAAGAAGATGAAGGATCCAAAGCGTAGAGTACGTCCCCCCCTTTAGTTTTTCTTCTGTTATGTTAGACTACGTTGTGCTGTGTATTGTATTATAATGAGGGAGATTGGCTCCTGTAGTCTTTCCTTTTTCCACATTTTTAATTGCCATTCACACATGTGTCTACTGTTTTTATCTCACTGCTCTCACTGATCTCAACCCTTCATTATATAAAATCAATTATTCAGCAGCTAAAACAGATGAAGTTTGCCTCCAATGGCACAGTGGATGTACTGCTCCTCTAGCTTTGTAATGTCTTCGACTACTACTGGACTTATTACCAGTGACAGTTGGCCTAGTGGTGTTATATTCTGTACTTTTTAAAAGGGTTTTGGTGTCGGTAACCCACCTAGTGTGAAATAAAGGGGAACTGGTGCTAATTTGAGGTCGAACCAGCTCATGAGCTTCCAGCACGTCGTCCTCTCCCCTCAGCACTCTATTGCTCCGATTGAATAAATGCTGCTTCTAAATAATTATATTAAGGGGAGACACTACAGATTAATGGGTAAAATATAACTTTTACCTAATAATCATTAAAACTTCCATAACAGAAATCTGAACATTTGATAAAGCCAGGTTAAAAGTTCTTGTTTCATTTTATTATTAAAAGTGTCGACAGAGGGATATATTTATATATGTTTCTATGAATAACATGTGATATGAATCGGGCTATGATGTTTGTGCCAACTCTAAACACACCAAACCGTTATCTATGTTGGATTCTGTAGAAGTGGTGTTTTGTTGTTTTTTTCCTCGCATGCTGCACGTAAAACAATATAATAGATTACATTGCACACAGAGACCGCTGTGATAGCATTAGCTTTATTGACAGTGGACTGAGGCTTTCAAGCACCGGCTGTCTCCGTGATTCATTGTGTGAAGCAGGGGAGAAGAGCAGCGTCCAGTCCTGCTTCCATGAAACCCCTGGAGGTGAATTTCCTGATTAAAGCCCCTCAAACCACGCCCCCCATGCGGGCATATTCAGTTTGCGCATGTGCATCTGTTGTGGGTTCGTACTTGCTTGTAAGCAAAGTGCATGTGTATGTTTTCATCTATTGTATGTGTCTATGAAGCCAAATTAATGCATATATTAAAGAATAATTTAAATTCTTTACTTTTTTATGGCTTTTACTTGATCCTACAACTTTATATTTTGTACTTTGAGCACATTTTCATAAATGATGTCTTGTCTGCCTGATCTATTTTTCTGTAAATTTGTAACAACATTTTTACTAATTGCGATATAAACAAACCACTTTTTTAATTTCTTGCATGTTCACATATGTGCAGATAGATGTGTGCACATGTATGTATATATCTGAATGTGTATCTGTGTGTACCTGGTGTGTGCATCCCCTCCGTGAATGTGTGTTTGTGTGTGTTGCAGAGTTGATGTCTGAGACGGCAGGCCGCCATGTGGAAGCCATTGGGACCTGGAGCGGGAGTGAACATGGAAGGTGAGGCCAGATGGTAGTGGTTAGCCCTTGGCTGCTCTGGGTAACCTGACCTGCAGGGAGGACCCCTCTGCCTCCCGAGGACCAGCCGCCACATGTGTTGCGTGAGAGTAAGTCACCCAAAACCCAGGAACCGCCTCTCGGCTTCCTGACTGCCCTGTTCTCATAGCCGAGGCTGTTTTTGTAGCCGAGGATCTAAAACAACAAAGTAGGAACAAGGATCAGACAGCAACAGTTCAGAGACCGGGTCACGGAGGATGCTGAGGTCTGATCAAGGTGTTATGAGGAGTCTCGTTCATGTGTTGATGCTGCAGCAGATACTTCTACCTTTAACCTATTGCTGCAAAGACCATGTCGATTAACTCAAGTACTGCACTGTATAATTTTGAGGTACTTGTACTTTATAATTGCTTCCAGTTTATGTTACTTTATATTTCTAAAGCACTACTTGTCTGAGGGAAATATTGTATACTGACATGCGATAGTTTTAAACAAAAAATGTGTTCAGCTACTAAAATATTATTCCCTGCAGTAGATAACCCACCTAGTAGTACATCAAGTAGTTCAAATTGGTTTCATATTGACCAAACACACAATTAAAAGGCTGCTTACAGGTTAATAATGCATCAGTAATAACTTCCC